TTCTGTTTTCCATGAATGTTCAAAGGTCACTGTTGCTGACTCAAAAATGAAATCCACCTGTGCTTTCTGCACCAGAAGACATAGTCCTATCCTTTCTTTGATGTTTTTCTCCTTCAGCCAATAAAACTAAACAACGAAACCCTCTTTTTGGTTGTTGTAGTTTCACTGCAAGCTGAATTCTGAATCTTAGTCCTTCAAAAAATTTTTAAAAATTAAATTTAAAAAAAGGAAAAAAAGAGAAATATTTCTTATAGGACCATGCCAGGTGTGATAGGACCACTATCTAATAAAGTTCCCCTACCACATATAACAGGCTAGTTTTCTTCCCTGAAAGAAAACAAACATTCCTTAGTACTGAACTGGCTCAGAGGTCTAAGGCTAAATTGCATCTACCTTGAAGGAAGTTTCCTGATGGTCTCTGGCCAAAATTGACATGGCTTCTTGGTTACCCAAGGACATTAAAAGGCCCAACCATGTGGAATCAGAGTCCTTCACAGTTGATGGACATCTTAAGACTCACCACACCCTTCCCTACAAATCAGATACATTTCTAAATTTCCATGTAGAAGCAAAGTCTACCTAGGCTAAGAGCTTCAGCAAACTTGTCCACTATCCTTTCTTTGCTACTGCTAAGTAAACCTTGCTTTGTTAACCATTGACCTACCTATGAGCCTCATATCATTCCAATACGGAACCTAAACTAACAAGAGATTCCTGAATCAAGCCTCCCCATCATACCACACTTTTGTATTTATCCTCTATTGTCTGCCTTTGTTTCCATTTTCTTCCTTTTTCATATTTAGGTTGATATCAGTGTTTCATGAGATATAGGTAAAATGTTATGATTATTAACCCATGGATAGTTACTGAAATAGTGCCTAAGTTGAGAGTATAGACGTGATATTCAAAAACATGGAATTGTTTTTAAGTTTGGATGCCTATGATTTTTGGTATCTTTTGGGTCACTCTGAATGACTTACAGAATTTGACAGTTGTAAAGGAGTTTTTGTGTTTGTCAGTTCAGTTCTCTCTTTTCCTGTGCACAAATCCATTTTATAGCATTTTTGACAAGTGGTTATCTGACTTCTGTTTGAATGTCCCAAGTGATGGGGCATTTATTATCTTTCCCAGCAACCCACTCTAATACTTCTTGAGGAAGTACTACTTTATATCAAAGATGAACTGTTTCTCTGTAGCTTTTATCTGCTGTTGTTGTTAGTTCTACCCACTTGCACTAAACAGAATAAATCTTATCCCTCTTTTACACATGCCCCTTTGTATTAGAAACTTCCTCCTGGCCTAAATAACACTTTGGGGACCTTTTCACTTCTACTATGGGATTTATCAGCGTTTGGTTCTTCCCCAAAAGTCACCTCACTTCTCCTTAAAAGTGCTCAATCTCATAAAGCTCAAAGCAGTTTTATTTACAAAGTCTTCAATATAGAAAAAACTCATCTAAGCCCCCAAAGAGTCATCACCTTCTCTCATGAACAATGAATGGGTGACCCTCCTCCCAGAGACAGGTGAAATCTCTATGACTTATAATAGTGGGCTGGGTGAGGCTTCAAAAAATGAGGAGGCTGGGGCTTTCTCCAACCTGGTCCTCTTCACTCTTTGCCTCTTGCCTCTTAGCTTACAGCAAGTGCTTTTTGCAGGGCTGATGTTTGTCCTTCATGCTTCTGCTTCTTGCAGCACGTCACCCCCCTACTCAATCAACTCTGATGATTCCCCATCACCTCCAGGATCACATATAAATTGCTTTTTGAATTGGCATTCAAGCTCCCTCCTTTCTTTCTAGCCTTCTTACTCCTATTGCCCAGCACATGCTCTCTGATATAGTGACATGGGCCTCCTTGCTGTTCCAAAAGAGGGTCCTCCTCTTAGCTATGGGCATTTTCTCTTGCTGGCCTCTGTGTCTGAAATGCTTTCCTTCCTCATCTTTTCCTCCGGCTTCCCTGTTTCATTTTTTGTCTTTTCAAGTACCAACTAAAATTCCATCTTCTATAAGAAGCCTTTACCAACCCTTCTTAATTCTAGTGCTTTACCTCTGTTAGTTATTCCCTATTTATCCTTTATATAATTTGTACGTATTTGTTTGCCGATTGTCTCTCCCATTAGATCATGAGCCCCTTGAGGGCAGGGGCTATCTTTTGCCTTTTTTGTATCCCTAGCTCTTAGCACAGTGCCCAGCACATAGTAGGTGCTTTGTAAATGCTTATTGACTGACTGCCCGCAGCTTAGGCCACAACAACCAAAGCTCCCCTTGGAGGTCAACAGGACACAGTGGAAGACATGCCAGATCTAGAGTCAGAGGAACTGAATTCCAGTCCTGTCTTGGCCACTTATTACTTGCTTGATATTGGGTGGATCATTTAACTTCTCTGGGCCTCAGTTTCTTCATCTGTAAAATGGGGTAGATGGCTTCTAAGATCTCTTCCAGTTCTAAATCTGTGATCTTATGACCTTTGTTGCTGGCTTCTGTCTCTTCCATATGGAAATCTTCGTTTTCCATAGGCAACAAGCCTCTTCAATATAGAACTACTCTAGCGTTTTTTTTTTGCCAAATATATTCTATCTGAAAATCACACCTCCAGGCCTGAGCATCTCTATTCTGTTGAAACTTTTTTGTAACTTAGATCCTGTAGCCCTTCGCTTCTCATTCCAAAGGTCTCTTATGATTTTGGAAGACTTTCTTCTTTCTTATTTATTTTTAGAATGGATTTATTATTATTAGAATTTATTTATTTATTATTTATTTGTTATTATTAGAATGAATGTTTTTCCCTCTAGCTTATGGTAAGTTCATGCTTTTTCTCGTTTCTTCCTAGTGCCTGGTGCTATATCTCCTGCTTGCAAAAACATCTCCCAACAGAATCAGAGTTTTAGTGGAACATTCTCGCTCTCTCCTTCCTTGTTTGTACCCCATTTTCCATTGGGGTACTTGGGTCAGGTCATACAAATTACCCTAGAGCTCCTGTGGGAAAGCTCTCTAAAAGGCAGTCAGGAGGAGGTAGAGCCTGCTGCTTCCAGGCCAAAGAAGAAGGTGTACATTTGTGGTCTTTGTTAAATCCATGATAGCCCTTCCCCTTTTTGACAGAATGTCCTCCCAAATCATCTCTTCTTTACATGACACACCTCCCACTTCTCCATGCTCCCACTTTACAATCCAGCAGTTCTTTGAACACAACGCTTCATCTTCCTTCCTGGCTTTGTACTGACTACCTCCCACACCTGGAATGTTCTGTTCCCCTCACCTCCACCTCTTAAGTTTCCTGGCTTTCTTTAAGACTCGGCTCAAATCCTGACTTTTAAGGCCTTTCCCAGTCCTCTCAGTCCTTAGTGCCTTTTCTTCTCAGATTGCCTTCCATCTACTCTGAATGTATCTTCTACATATCTAGTTACTAACATGTTGTCTTTCTCATTAAAATGCAAGTTTCTTGACTGCAGGTACTTTTTTTTTTAAAAGCTTTTTTATCTCCAGCACACACCTGGTACATAGTAAGTACTTAATAAATGCATGTTGCCTGACTGTTTGACTTCCTCCAAAACTCCTGGAATGCTTTTACCCTCTTCTGTATATATTCCAGCTTGTTAACATCCCTCTTAAAATATAATCCCCAGACCTGAACACAGTATTTCCAGATGTGATCTAGCACAGAATATAGTGGAACTTTTACCTTCCTTATTTTGAACATTATACTTTTATTAATACAGCCTAAAATCACATTAGCATGTTTATGTTTATTGACTAAATGAATTTGTTCTCAACTAAGCTAAAACTTTAGACTATTTTTTCTTGGTGTGTGCCTCTAACTATGGTGAGAAACATTCATTTTGATTAACAGTTCTCAATTATTTGGGCAATAATATTTACAATGTAGGGGAAAGAATGCTGGATTTAATGTCAGAGGACCCTTGTCAAGTAAAGTAGTCAACAAGCATTCATATTAAATATATATGGCTGGGGATACGGAGAAAGGTAAAAACAGCCTCTGCCCTCAAGGAGCTCACAGTCTAAAAAGATTGACCCCGTGACAAATAACTAAGTACCCAAATTGCAGGTAATCACCTAGAGAAGTCGTAACATTAAAGGAGACTGGGAAAAGTTTCTTGGGCAAAGTAATTTTCCTGCTTGGGGGCTGCAATTTCCTCACCTCCCTTCTAGCTCCAAATCTTGTGAGCTTTTCTTCAGAGTCCTAAAGCTCTTTATTACTCTCTTTTGTATCTTGCATCATTATGGCTTGGGGCGGGGGGAAGGGATGGAGATGAAATTGAATTCAATCTAACAAACATCCATTCCCAGCGGACTATTTGGAGATAGAGACCCTTAGGAAGAATTAAGGTATAAAAAAGTTACGAAGTTTATTTCCAAGGGTCACTCATATCTGCTCTAGCCACGGCTCTCTTCTCCCAGTTACGGGGCAGCGCGCAAAGCCCCGACACTGATGACAGACAGGTCCTTGAACTCTGTGTTCCAGCCAGGAATCCAGCCGCCTCCTTCCAGCAAAACTACAAATCCCGGCAGGCCAGGCAGGCTTCAGCGAGGCTCTCCTTCCTAGGGGATAGGAGGGGTAACACCCTCTGTAGGGCGGACTCCGACTCCCGAACAGACCACATGCTCCCTCGCCTTTTTCAGGGCAGGGAACTACAGAACCCAACAGGCCACGCCGGCGGGATCTGCGGCCTCGGCGCCGCGTTGCATGCCGGGACTTGTAGTTTCTTTGGAACGGGAGCAAGAGGGCTGGAGGGAGGAACCGGCTTTGGAATCTCAGCTGCTGCCTGAAGTAGGGAGGCGAAGAAGAGAGCCGGCGCGCCTGCGCAGCTTTCTGGGTTCGGTCCGCCGCCGCCGCGGCTCCTGCTCGGTGCCTGTAGGACTCTGGTGGGGAGGGGTGGGGGGGACTCGAGGCGGAACGGATGCTCCCGTGAGTGCGGAGGGAGCTAATAAAGTTTTTGAAGGAGGAGACAGCGTGGGGGGGGGAATCCATACGGAGGGGCGGGGCTGGGGCGAGAGGGGCCGGAGGCTAAAAGAAGAGAGCCCACGGAACGCGAGCGGGAGGAGTGCCGCCGAGCCGGGTCGAGGCGCCGGGAATCGTCCCTCTCGTCCCCCTCCAGGAGAACCGGCCCGGGACCCCTGGTGAGTGCCGGGGTGGGGGCGGGGGGCGGCGGCCGCGCTGCCCTCCCCTTCTCCTCCTCCTCCACCCCCTCCCTGCCGCTCCTGAGGCGAGGGGCGGGCCCTTCCCGGGACGCGCCGGGGCCCGGGGGAATGGGGGGAAGGTCGCGGGCGGGGCCACCCCGGGCGGAGCCGCAGCCTCCCCGTCTCGCTCCCGGCCGGTCCCCGGGATCCTCCCCCGGAGGAAGCAGCCATCCCTCCAAACCTCCGTCCCTCCATCCCTCCCGGCACTCTTCAAAAAACTCCTTTTCTTCCAAAAACAAAACAAAAACTTTGCAACTGCGGTTATCCTTGAGAACGGGGGGAGGGGGCCGCATCCCGGGGACGGAGAGCTTGTTGTTTTAAATCGGATACTGTAGTCCCTGCGTTTTATTTTGTGCTGTTAAGTTCCGAGGAGTGCCCGACTGCCGAAGGAGAGCACGACCCCTTCCCCCGCCTCCAAAAAATAAAATTAAACGAAAAGGTTCAGAGCCCACCCCTGCCCGAGAGGCTGCAGTCTGGACTTCCTTGAACCAGGTTTGTGGAAGTCCAGGCGAGGGTTGGGAAGCTCCCGGAGAGCTAGCTGCCTCTCGCCTTCCCGATCCACCAGCGGCGGTCTTTATTACTACTATTATTATTATTCTGACATCACCTCTCCTAGCTGGCTTCTCAGAGACTAGAATCGGTGGAGAGGAGGAATGGGGGGAAAATGACTTTTTCAGCATAGAGCTGAGATGGGCAAGAAAGTTGGCAAATAACTGCGTGAGAAGAGGGTTTTGTTCTCCCATCAAGGAAATACTGTTAAGTACTGTATGCTTGTTTTTTTTCTACTTCACTGACAGAAGGTTCTCTACGTGTGTGAATTTTCTGGAAGGTTGTATTACGCTTATTTTTATTTTCCTGCTTCGTTGACAGAGGGTACCTTAGGTGTATGAATTCTGCTGGAAGCTGTTAAGTTTTTTTTCCCCCCTACTTCATTGACAAGGTTCCATAGGTATATGAATTCTACTGGAGGCTGTATTAAGCATTTTTTTTTCCTATTTCATTGACAGGGGGTTCCTTGGTGTGTGATTACTGATGGAAACAATCCCCCCCCTTCATAGTATGAATGGTGGTGGAAGTTGTGTTAAGCTTTTTTTTCCTACTTCGTTGACTGAAGGTTCCTAGGTGTATGTGATTGCTGATGGAGCTGCTTCTCCACCCCCACCCCCCACTTCATGGGTGTATGAATATTGATGGAAGTTTTGTTAAGAGGGTTCCTAGGTGTACGAATTCTGAAGGAAACTGTTACTCTAATTTTTTTTCCATTTCATTGATAAAAGATTTCCTAGGTGTATGAATTCTGCTGTTAAGTTGTGTTAAGCTTTTTTTTTTTCTATTTCATTGATGGGATTCCTCGGTGTATGAGTGCTGATGGAAGCTGCTTCCCCCCCCCACCTTCATTTATAGAGGGTTCCCAAGGTATATGAATTCTGCTGGAAACTGCTGTGCTTTTTTTTTCCTACTTCATTGATATGAGAGTTCCCTAAGTATGTGAATTCTGCCAGAAGCTGTGTGGTGGAGCAAAACTTGTCTTCGAATGTGTAGGTAACCATGAAACTTTTTTTTTTCATTTTAGGGCATTAGACTTGTAAGTAAACTCTTCTTTTAAGCTTTGATTTTCCTTTAACAGGTCCAAAATCCATGCCATTTCTATTTCATGGGAGAAGATAGTCCTAACTCAGTCCTTACCCATTTTACAGATGAAGAAATCGAGACCCAGAAAAGTTACTCAATTTGCCCAGGCCTGGGCTCTTCCCAAATGCTAGAAATAGAACGAATCAATTCAGGTCTCTTTACACCTAACTGAGATGTGCTAGCATCTTCCTCAGTGGTTTGTGGTTTTTTGAAGCTGTCTCTTGATCTAGGTAAATCAAGACAGAAAAGGCATTATGACTGTCAGAATGACCTTAGAGGTTTTTTTGTAGTATTTTTTGTTTGTTGCAAAACCTAATATCTGTACCATGGATCATATAAATATTGGTAATATTGGTTGTTGATTGATTGAGTATTGGAGCAATCAATTTTTGAGAGCAGGATAGAAAAAGAAGATTTAAGGAAGGAAAATTGTTAGCCTTTTTTGGTCTTTTTTTCCCCCTTACCCATCACTTCTGCTCTCTTGGAAGTTTGCTATGCTTGTATATATATATCTTGTGGTTTCTTTTCTCTCTATTTTTATTAAAGTGTCTTTCTGCAGTGATTTAACAAAATGGCCTTTATAAACTGGGATTTTTTGTCATAAAGTTTTTGTATGTGTCCAGTTTTTAGAATAAGTGACATACTGTGGCATTTGTACAATTGTCTTAAACCTTAAAACTACTAGTCAGTCAGATACTTTTTGTTTGGTTCCCATAGAAAGAGTTGGTAGATTTAGGGTCGGAGGACCTGGGCTGTTACATCTTGCTTCTGATATGTTAAAACCCTAGATGTAACCTTAGGCTAATCATTCAACCCAGTGATCCTTGGTTACCATATCTATAAATGTGAGGGAGGGAGTTGACGGCTTAACTCTCCCAACATGCCTTCTAGCTTTACATCTGTGATCCTTAAATACAGATTTTTGCGTACTTTTTCTGTTGTGCACAATTGTATTGAAATTCATTGTAAGCTTCAAATAAACATTACGTGATTAGGAGAAAAACAAATGAATTTGCAAAATTTTACCTTTCCATTTTTAACTGTCCCAAACTGAGTATCTTTGCAAAAGGACATCTTAAATAATATTGGACTTTAAGCATTATTTTCCATACTTGATCAAAACTGATGTACTGATAGCAAGAATGAATTGCATTCAGCAGAGATGGTTTCTCCAAACATGGTCGGAATTCTTTTTTATTTCTATAACTTGCTTCATTATTTCTAGTGAAGTTCACTTTTGGAATACTAGTAGTCAGTCATCTAGCATTTATTAAATACCCAAGTGCCGTGTGCGAGGCACTGTGCTATGTGTTGGGGATACACGTACAGAGGATGAAACTAATACATTTCAACTTTAAAATGTTGTCTACTTTAGCAGAATTTTGGGTGATAAACTAAACGTTTAGTTCATTTATAATGCCGTCTGCCCCCCAGATATTTCCATTAGCCAGTTTTTGGTAGGCAGTATATGTTGTACCAAGTTCTTTCATATGTTGAAATGAATGTGTATACATATACATCTAAAATACATTTTACAAAATTAAGGAGTTGGAGATTCCAAGTTATTTAAGCTTATATTAATTTTACTCAGTTCTGTTAATTTTATTTTCATTGCTGCTTTAGAAAAAAGTTGAGTAACAGGTCTATTTTTAGTGAAATTTGGATATTAAAAGTAGAAGGGTTATATAAAGCTAAAGCAGGTTAGTTGTGTACGAGTTGGCTTTTTTTCTTATGCAATAGTTTATCAGCCAGAATAAGAAAGACAGTAAAACAGAATAGCGATACAATTGTTAGGAAACTCCCATGAGCTCATAATCAGGAAGGACTTTTTTAGAAGGGCTTAAGGATGTTGTATTTTTTTGTAAAGATAGCTACATATCAAGTGCTACTTGTGAACATAAAGAATCAGTTTTAAACCATGGAAAGTTCATAGGAAAGAAACTGAACATTTAAAAATGCTATTAAAAATCATAAAATATTCTGGAGTCTCTTAAGAGCAGCTCTTGTCTGGTGTCTTTAAAAGTATTATGTTATAAATCTGACAAGTAGTCAAATACTGATAATTCCACAGTTGTTTTGACATTGTGATACTTTGTGATACTGAATGGCATTACACGTTATGATAATGTACTTGGTTTAATAATGTGAGAGACTTTGACACTGAAATGCATTATTTGTAACTAAACAAATCCTTATACTCGCTGTTGTCTTAATTCTCTTTTGGAAATGGGAAAGTTTGGAATATAGCAGTTATTCGAATGTTAGTCACGTGGTCCCTGTTATATACTAGCAACTACAGAATTTGGGATTTTCAGTCTTACTGCAGTTTTTACAAGGAATTAAGTTCCTTTTGAGTATGAAATTGTTGATAATCCTAATATTAAAAAAAAATTTTGAATTCCCCAGTTTGTTTTTTACTGAACTTCATTTCCTAGATACAATAAGTAATTGTTCCAGCTTATTTGTATTTAGGTATACATATTATGTTTTTGCTTTGCTTTAGTTGTAATTACATAACATTTAGAAGTACATGAAACTGAATATGAAATTAGTGTTTGGGATAATGGAAATATTATTTATCAGGGAGTTAGACCTAGAAGCTTTGATATGTATGTGATGCCAAATTATTTTTAGAAACATAAAAATATGAATGGATATTTTCTTTGAAAAATAAGATCTTCCTGTTGGGGTTGGTTAGAGCTAACAGGAATCTGTTACTCTAATGAGAGGAAGGAAACTTTTTTTTAAAACTGCCTTAACCCAAAGTATTCTTTCCTCCCTTAAAGTTTCAGGGTGATGTAGAATGCATGGGTGTTTAATTTCTAGAAGGAAGTATAGAAGCATATTTTCTTTTGCACACAGGCCCTTTAGGAAGTCTTTTGTTCAGTTCTGAGTTGCTCTGATTTAAAAAGTTACTCTGCCAAATGAGTTCTACTTTTAGTCTCAAAAAAAAAAATTGATGGCTCCCCGTGTGATAGTTATACTACATTAGTGTACTTTAAGAAAACACAGAATGGCAAAAAAGCTATTGTGAATTCATTTACTCTTTTAAAATGAAATTATATTTAATTCATTGTAATAGTGTTTGGTTGCTTTAAAAAAAAAGCAATATTTTGTTTGTGTGAAACAGTATTCAGTCTGTGGAAGGTGTATTTGCTTGATTATTATACTGAGTTATTTAGTAAGCTGACCCATGCAATAATTCTGTACCCCATAAGCCTTGACCCACAAACTGGGAAATAGTATAAGTTTTCTTTCTTTGGATTGAAACTTTTGGTGAATGTGAAGAAAGCCAGAAAGTTTTGGGA